CTTGGTGAAGGTAATTATACCTGAAATTTTCTCGTACTAACAGATTCTCCACAGCTCACAAAATTCTGAGCGTACTAATAGAAAAGTATGAATTTCACTTCATTCATTGCTAAAAGTGCTTTACTTCACAGGAGGCTCCCAGATACCATTTGCCTAAATGAAACAGGACTACAACAGAGGTGGAAAATTACTTTGAATTAGATTTATTGATATATATTTTAAATACTTCAAGGCTTCCTCTTTTTAAAAATGGGTTTTATTAAGATTTGCTGAGAAGCTGTTATTGGTTAACCCCAGTTCTTGGTGAAGTCAAGATTTTACAGTCTATTTTATATATTTGCTTCTTTTTAGAGAATCTAATGGTGTAATATCAGCCTGAAATTACTGAATAAAGTTTTCTCTGAGCTCAGGGTTAGAGATTTTCTTATCCTTAGATATGGGGCTGAAAGCCCACATCACCCCAAGTCTTTGGAGGCCAAGTCAGATCATTCTTTCTGGTTTTCCTGGGGACATGGGAAGCAGAGAACCTTCTGATTATTATCAGTATTATTGTCTCTTTTCAAAGGAGGAAGAACCCAGATATATAACCATTTTGTGGATATTGGACCTTGCAGAAAGTTGAAAAGTGTTGCATCCTGGCATGTTTCAATACCTCATCACAGTTGATGACTCTGGATCAGGCCTAGAAACTAGATAAGGAAGTAATGGTAATAAACTGGATGGTAAATACTGAATAAATAATACATTACTGCAACAGAAATGAATCTGTCTGGAGGCTTTTAAATGAAGTCTTGGTTTCTTATAAACTGAAGGAAAAACACTGAATCAGATGTCTTCCTCTACCAAAAGTAGTATTTTAGGAATGCGACTCTACGGCGAAGGGTGGGTTGCCCAAATATCTCTAGGTACAGAAAAATCTAAAGAAATTTACTAGTATAAAGTGAGGCTTAAACACCCTGGGTGGAGTAACTCAAAGCATAAGAAAAAGAGAAATTTATAGTACTTTGTTAATCAACTTCCTTGGACCTTATTTCTGAATTCTGTGTATCCATAATCCCCATTTGCCTGCATGCACAATAGATCCAGGATGCTCATAAAGCAGCATGGCACAGGTGCAAATCCTCTTGGTTCATGTTTTGTAAACTCGTGTTTCCAGGTTGCTCTCAGTTCCCTGATGGAGAGAAGTGGCAGAGCCTGTGCTCTGCAGATGGGTTACCCGCTATAGCTTTTAGCTGCATCTGGCACCCGCGGGTTGGATTTTCCTCTCGTCAGCCAGCCAGGAGCAGCAGTTGCATTTTGTGGACTGATCCAAACCTCATGGTTGAACACACACGGGCAGAGCAAAAGTTTCACTGGCCCTGGTCCACTGCAGCAGGATCAGTGCTGGAGCCAGCGCATCTGTTACCCTCTCTGACTTTGAGGTGCTGTTGAATTTATTCTTCTCTTCACCAGTGTAGCTATTCCCTGAATCTCTGCAGTACTTGTTAACAGGCAGCTATATGTCAGTGCTACAAACACTATATAGGAGCATTAAAACAGATTTAGAAATACAAACTCTGCTTTTGGTGCTAGGAAGGAAGATGTTTGCCAGGTGCAAGCTCTCTCTGTTGCCTGTATGCCTTGAACTCTCATGAAATCAGTTATATAAGAAACAGATGAAAGTTTCAAGAAGGCATATATTTCAGTTTGATTACATTGCTCAAATACTAGCAAAATAGTTATTTGTTCGTAAGGTCACCTACAACTCCAGAGTAGTTTTACCTGTTTGAAAATCTCCTGTTGATCCAAATGGTATTGAAAGCATAGACTGCTACAGTTATATATTGGTATTATTGAAAATTTCTGTAGAAGTTCTTGCTATAGAAGTTGAATGACAGACCTTCTACAGGTTTTGTGAACCACTTATTAGAATTCCAGAACCACATGTTATAACATACACAAACATACCTACAGCATACTTAACATTTCATAATGAATTTCTCATAGCTCTCCTCTACGTGTCCTCATTTGTAAACTTAAGAGACCTTCTCATAAATTTCTCAGACTTGTAGGAAGCAGAAGGATTCAGTGGGTGGATCTAAGATCTCTGATGTGTTAGTTCTGGTCTTTCATCTAACAGGGAATCAGATTTGTCATGTTCTGGCCTAAGTGGAGTGGCTTCATTGAACCTTTCATGGTTAGGCATCATGGCTAATTTTTGAAGACCCGGAGAGGAAAACAGGCCTTTGTAGGGTCATATTGTGATATTGTTGGTCATCTAGGAAATTAGATGGCTGAGTGATGTTACTTTCTGCCATTTTTGGAGCCTGGTTTTGTATCTTTGCCAAGTATTTGAAATTGCTGACTTCTATCAGGGTGAAAAAGGGTAACTAGCCATGATGAATCAAGATGACAGAACTGCATTGGAAATTTCAAATTCCAAATGACTTTTAATTAATCTAATTAAAATTAATTGCTTCTGCTTCTTTGGAGAGTCTAGACCAGTAGTATTTTCATCCTCCAGATCTAGCCCTTCATCTCTCCTCATTTGCTTTGAAGTGAGTCTTTACAGCACTGACATTAGTTAAGAGAGCTATATTAAGAAACTGGAGAAGCTCTGCTTGTCTATCACATACCAGGATGGTTAGATGATTTTTATAAACATAGTTTTGATAGAAAAATATTCATTAATGAGAGATGTGGTAAAAAAGGTGTACTTTGTGTGGAAACTGTAGAGGCTTTTTAGACTACTCCCCTTTTCTCTTTAATGACTACGTGCTAGTATAGATCATTGTCTTTCCAGCCATTCACATTAATAGATTTTATTAATTTGGGGTCAAATACAGTGGAAATTCAATAAATTTTGTAAGGGTATGCAGAAGGAGAGTGTCTGCTCTTCTGAAGGTACCTTGGCAAGGGCCTTTTCCAATGCAACAAGAGACAAGGCAAAGGGAGGCAAGTGCTGGGAACCAAGTCTGGTCAATCATACAAATTTATGAGCATGTAAGAATGTAGGAATGGTTATGCCAATGTTAGCTAATGGAGGGCTTCTATGCTGGGAGACAATCATAAGAAACAAACCTCCCAGGCACACTTATTTGTGGGCACCAAAGCTACTGGCACCACTTCCAGGAAGAATGGAACTTGCAGCTGGTAAGACTGTGAACCAAGTTGCCTCAGACTGTGACGGTACAGAAACTGCAAAGCTCTGCAGACCCATGGGGGTGTTCAGGGGAAAGGGGGGATCACAAGGAACAAAGAGGGGGGACAGGTAAAAAGGTATAAAATGGCTGGTTACATGTAAAATGGGACCAATCAGTACACTTGTCTGGCCAAGCCCTGCAGCTGAACACCACGTTCTGTTCTATGTTCTTGTATTTTCTCATTAAATCATTTCTTAACTTTTTCCCTGTGTATTCACACTCTCTCATGCGTCCATGTGCACTGCAAGGATAATGTACCAGCTCTGAGACCTCTGTGTCAGTGGTGCCTGCTGCTGGAGTCAGGGTGGTGAAGGGCACCCTGGCCTGCAGAGGAGTGACTGGGAGGGTCTCAGTACTGGTCACTGGTGGGATCTGTGTGTGTGCGAGTGGAGCTGCTTCCTGCTCCTTGGGGCAGGCCGGGGATGGAGGCCTGTGGTGGCTGCTCCTGGAGGCAGGCTGGAAGCAGTCTGGGAGGCTGGTCGTGTCAGCATCCTGTCTCTCTGTGTGTCTCTGGAGTACACGTTGAGCTGTGCTACCAGTTCACCCTGTGAAGGGGAAAGCCATGGCCACATCCCTCAGCCTGGGCAGAGACCCCAGGCACAGCCTGGGCCCCAGTGGCCAGGCAGAATTGGTGCTGGGCTGGAGTGGCTACAAGGAGGCAGCCGTGTGCTTAACTCTCGACATCACTTAACAAAGTTCCTTTTCTATATATAAATGTGTTTGAGTCTTAAGTAAAACTATGTCTTAATTTAAAAATAGAACAGTTCAAAATGATTGACACTTGTTCCAATTTCCATTAACAGATTTGGAAATGCTCACTATTGGCTAAGGATGAGCCACCACTAGTCACAGAGAATATTATTGTCTGCACTGGTGTCCATCAAAAGTCAGTGTTTGCCAAGAACTGCCACATGTTTCTCTCTGAGTTACTGTAGTTGCATGAAATAGAAGATGATTCCTGTCATACCTATGCTATTTAAGACACAACATGTGATAATCACCATTAAAGGTCAGTATTATCTGCCTGGAAGTACCTGTCACACGATAGAATTATATACATCACAATATACCATCTACATGCCGTAATTGTAATTGAAAAATATTTTCCACCTTTTTGATATTGGAAGATTTTATAACTAGGTATTATCTAGCATTTTCTAAGTTTGCAAGTGAAATGTATTTTATGACATCTGTTGGCACAATACTTAAAAACCATACAGGAGACATGGTAACGTAAAATACATTTTCATTTGCCTTTCACTTGTTTTTTGTTGTTTTCTTTCTTTATTTGGATTACTTTTAGAAGGAAAAAAATATCTGTTTTTAAAGGCATTTTCTTCTTTTCACAGCTAATGTTTCATACTCCCTGATCCTGTAGTGAATGAATTATTGTGGATTTATGAACATATTAATCATCTCCATGGAAACAGTTTGCAATTTCACAGCACAAGAGTTTGACTTCCCTGCATGATAATGAAAAAGGAATAAGCTAAAAAAGTGAAGCTGAGAGGAGATGTAATGCCCCTTCCAACTCAGGCACAGTCAAAGTTATGAACATCTGCTGTGGACTCCTGGGTCTAGGAGAGAAATCAGTCCTTCCAGACTGTGGGTGACCAAGAGCTTTGCAGTTTGCAGGCAAGAGCTTAGGAGGACAACACGCTTAATAAGTCCTCCATGAAAGATAATTTTTGTAAGGGGAAATTTGTGTGTATATATATATACACACACAAATTTCAGCTCCCAGGAAAACCTAGGGAGGTGCAATTAACTGTTTACTACTATTAATGATAATTTTTGAAAACATTTATTTTGAAAGATGCAGACTTTCAGGAGGAACATGATGCCTGTCAGCTGGGACCATGATGCAGCCCAGAAACACCTGATGCTAGCAGAGAAGCTCAGGAAGGGAGGGTGCTCTGGGGAGACCTATCAGAAGAGGAAGGAAGAGAGGAAGTACTGAAAAAGAAAGCACAGCTTTATCTTAGGTGTTGGTGGGGAGCCTGGAGGCTGAAGGTTAAAGAAAGTTTGGATGTTTCTTCTTGGCTGCTTCTGAAGATGGAGGTGGTGGTTACTTTAAGGTAACGGGGCTGAGCTGTAATACACTTGTCACTGAATAGGAACTTGAGGAAGGTTTTGCGTTGTGGGGTGTTTTTGTCTTTTGTCTGCTGTATAAGGGATGGTCTGCCCAGGGCTGCTGAGCTCAACTTGGTTGTAGTGGCTGAGCACGAACCAAGGAGCTGTGTCTGTGATATGAGAGCCACAGCCTCCTGGGGCTGGGTGTGATGGCAGTCTGTGCCTTGTCCCTGGGACATAGCTAGATGTTTGCTTTCTTTTGTGCTCAGGAAGCAATGCTGAAGGAAGAAAGCTTGCCTGTTGTGCCTTGAGTGTAGGGGTGGCTTCCCATCCACTGCTGCCTTGCCTTGTGCATAGGGGGGTGGTAGGAAGGAGACTTGAGAGGGAGGGCATGGCTGGCTGACGTGGTGGTGAGCTTTTTGATTTTTGAGCTCAAAATCTTGCTATTTTGAAGTCTCCTAAAATTTGCTGTCTTGATGACTGACTCTGAACACCTGAAGGGGAGGAGTTCAGTTCCTTGGTAGTGAAGCCTGTGAGTGCCTGGGGCAGAACAGCCCGGTGTGCTGTCCTCACTCAGTGTTGTGACTGGTAGCTGAAGGGCAAGCAAAGCCATGAGCAGGACACATGGTGTGAAAGACAACCTGTGCAGGTACAGAAAGACCACAAGCAGTCTCGCCAGAAGTGTTCAAATTAGACAGCCTATAAGCCAGTGTTAGGTCCTGGTGGAGCAGTGTCATGGCTTTGTAGGCTTCAGAGCAGAAGTTCAGCTTGATCCATGCCTGCTGAACACAGAGGAGTTTTCCTGGTTCAACATCACAGAGCCAAACTTCTCTCTTTAGTGAAATACTTGCTGGTAATGGCTTAAATTGCCCTTGACTATCTTGTGGTACAGGGAATTTGTATATGTCCTAACAGCTTTCTAATAAATTGAGATTTTGGAGAGGGAGTAATTGGGCAGGCATGCAGTATCATTGTTAGGTATTTCCAGTAGCAAACTGACTTCTCTTGATCTGTCAGCTGGTGTTTACAGCCTGGAGGATCAGGCCCTTATTCTGATGCATGAAAAATTTGGTAATTATAAACAATGGAGCAGCTGGGGGAAAAAAAAAGCAACAGCAGTATGCCTCTCTGAGTCAGGTTTGCTTGATGAACCAGAAGCTCCTCCAGAATCAACCCTCTAGGACTGGGAGTTGCAAAAGTGCCTGTGGCCAACATTTTCTCCCCCTCTTCTCCCCCCATTCTTTGTTCTCAGTATTTGACAGTCTGGAGGCTGTGTTTGTAACAGCCCATTAGCTTTTTGGCTCTCAGCTGCTGAGATGAAGCTCACCAGAATGTAGAACAAAACCACAAAACCCTGAAGCGTGAGGAGGAAGAGGAAAAAGAAAACATGGCATGACAGAATTCCTGGATTAGTGTTTACCCCTGTTGAACTTGGACTTAAATGGATGGGAAGGGAGGTCATCAGTGGTAGGCAGTCTTGTGTGAGCTAGAGACTGAAAGATAGTTAAATGAAGATACGCAGCTTGCTTTTCTCCTGTGTATCAGGTCTGTCTTGTCCTGTTGATCTGAATGAACTCACTTGGGGAAATTTGTGTAATCTATATGTAGCTCATACCTCCAGACTGATGATACACGTTGATTCAGGCAAAGGATGTTCACATGGATGCAACAGCACACACTGAACTTTAGTGACAGGGAAAATAATCGTAGCTCTCCTACTAGCTGCTGTAATTTAGCACTGCATAACAGCACTGCTCTACACATCTGACCACGTATCTGGAGGAGAATGAGTGACACCACCATTGTTTGTGTTGTCATGAAATTGTTCAGCTACCATGGTAGCTCAGCTGCATAATCAATCATTTCCAACAATTAAAACAATGCGCTTAGTTGGCAGCTGACAACCCGAAGTGCCAGCTGCCAATTTCTCTAGCTTGTGGATTTTTGGGTTTAAAAATTGCACGTGGATGGGAGTCACCTGACATTTCTTTCTTTGCATAATAACTTTTCTTGCTGCATCTCAGAAGTGCTCATCCGAGGGCACGACAGACCAGTCAGCACAATTGTTGATGTAAGATCGTGTTACCATGAAAGCTGTAACTTTTGTTAGTGGCACAATAGCACAGCTTTCTGCATTTCTAAACGAGCTGGATAAAGAGGTTAAAGAACAGCTGTGTTAACTATTTTTATGACTGGCTTCTCTTTCTAGTGAAAGAGGATTAGTTGTGTGCATTTTCAGTTTCTAAGAAATATTTGAGTTTATTTATGGCTCTTGGTTTAATGTTTCAAAAATTGCTACGATGAAGAGTTGACACATCTTGCTGCCATTCATCTTTGGGAATCTCTCTTTTCCTGGAGTAGAGTTGCTAAAATTTTCTGTCCTCTGAAATGGTTTCAGTAGAGCAGCTATTTCTACGTCGTATTTAATGTATTTCCCCAGGTAGTCCAGTACCTACCTGTATTATGATGCTTTTCTTCAGGAATGGTGATGAGCAAATATTTGGCTGGAAATCTTTCTGCTTTGTCCTGTTGCACTTACTGATGTCTTACCTATGTGCTACAAACATGTCAGGCTGGCAGGTGTGTGTGGTGGGGAGGTTGAAATCTGTAATAGGATTCTGCAGTTTGACTTCCCAGCTGTGTATAGTGTCTTACAGATTACCAAAGGCTATGTGTCAGGCTTGTAGCACTTCAGCACGTGTAAAGTCAACATGAAGCTAGCTCAAGGAGAACTTGATATCCTATGCTAGACATAGCAGTGACTTAATGAAAGGCAGGCAGGAAGATGGGATTGAAAAACGTTGGGTGGAGGATGAGGAAATGGTTGATACACCTTTGCAATAATAAAAGGTGTATCTATATGAATGTTTTATAACAATGATGTCTGCTTTTTAGGGTAAATATTGCTTGGTGTCTCATTGCTTAAAGCACACTGAGGAATGCTTTTATGCACAGTGGGTTTTGCAGTGGTGGCAGCGGACTGCATAGATTGCCCTGCAGCCGTTGAGCTTGGTGCTTGCTTTAGGACTGAGACACAGCACTGTAATCTAAACTGGATCCTTATAACCAATAACAGCACTTCTAATTACTCAAGTAGTATAAACAAATCTCACACTGAGGGTCATGAATTAATCACAGAGTTTGGGAATACTGCTTTCCTTCCTGCTTGCTCTTCTGCAAGAGTGCGCTGTGCTGAATGCTGTAAAAGGGGGAATGGTCCTTGGTTAACAGGAGCTGAGCAGCAGCTGCTCCTCAGTGAGCAGGTACTGGGTGGGAAAGGCTGGTAACTGTGGGGTGCATGCTCACAGCCTGTGGTACTACACCTGTGGGATCATTAGACCCATATGTATTTTGGCTCTGCTGCACAAGTGGGTAGCTATTTTCTTTTATGTGTACATACTTGCTCTCTTGAGACTGCCTGCACCATTGTAACCCAGATCGCTGGGTTCATTTTGTAAGACTCATGGCACGTGTATTCCTAAGGGAAAAATCCAAATGGAAAGCACCTTTTTTCTTCTCCACAACTTTTTTGACATCTTTCACATTTCTTTTTTTTGATTTCTACAGTTCCAATATTCTTAAAACACTATTTTTCTTACAATTTTTCTTTATATTTTTGCTGGTGGGTTTCACATCAAAGCTCCCTAACTACTTGGGTTTTTGATTGTGTAGCACCTGTAATTGTTCAGTTACTGCAGATCCTTACAGAATGAAATCAATCCTGCAGAAATATGCAGTAATAGAAATCAATCTATTTATGTTATTACCTGCCTGTGTTTCAAGGTCTACTTTTCTCTCTGTCCCTATGTTAATGGAATGGTTTGTAAATTGGTGTGTTGAACTACCTATATATTGATTGTAGACTTACTGAATGTACTTCGTTCCAAAAGCTTCCTTTTCCCCTGTCTTAACTGTGTTAAGCTTCGGGCATTTACTTGTAGTATATATTGAACCTCAGTGTCTACTTACTTTGCCAAATGGTCTTTATATTCAGTGGCATGTCTCAAATATTTGTCCTTTAAAAACTAGGTGGACTCTATTTTAACTTGCCATTTAGTTTGTAATCCAATAGAGTATATTCTCCCACAAAGAACAGTGTGTTTTGAAGAATAGTAAGGACTTTGTGTATTTAGTTCTACCTTCTTGCTACAGCTGTTAGGTGTGCATTGAGGCATGGATGAGATCTTTGCTCTAAGGAAGCAAGAAATGAAGGTTATGTTCGTGTACCTACAGCCTTGTGGACAGGCTCTTGAATCTTGGGAAGAACCTCATTGCCTTGGTCCTTTAACGTGCATTTCTTTCAGGTGTTGGGATTAAGCAAAAGCCATCACAAAAAAAGAAAAAAAAAAAAAGGGAAAAAAGGAAGAATTGGAGTAGGTTGCAAAGAGGATCGTTTCTCAGTTGTATTCCTTTCATATCTTCTGAGATAGGTTCTGGTGGGATCTGGTAAAGAGCTGTTCTTTGAGTGAGACATGATCGAAAAGCAATAGGCATCTGGGACTTAAGGAACAAGAAGGGACTTTAGAATTAAAGAGAAACAAGATAAAGAAGAAAAAAAAAAGAAGAACAGATGCTGCCTTTACAGTAAATGAGTTGGCAGAAACTCGAACAAGAACAGGTGTGATAAGGACACTTTTTTTTTTTTTTTTTTTTTTCCAGAACACATCTCTACACTGTCCTGTGAATCGGCGAGCTGTTAGAGACTTGTCTTGCTGATCTGGTGAAGAGGGGTCCAAATCATAGATGCTCAAATTTATCATCAGCATTATAGAGGATCTTTGAGGTCCATTCTGTGATGATTCTGTGATTCTTTCCTTGTGATATAAACTGTATGTTGAAAGCCCTTTTTCCTGAATGTCTGCTCAAGGCATGGGGGTTGAAGTATTTTTATATTTTTAGCTGTTTTCTATGCTTGTGGTTTTTATATGCTAATATGTTTGTTTCTTTTCAGCCTTTAGAATATTCATTTCACAAAGTCTAAAATTTGACACCTGCTGTAGCTTGT